CACTCTGTAGGTGTTAATTGCCTTCCTTCCATTTTAATGTTCTTGATGTTTCATTATTCAAAGCATCCTTTCATCTCCAATTGTGTAGTTTGATGACTATTTCTAGAAATGTCTTTCTTTTTTCACAGCCTTGCAGACTGTTTTTAGCTCTAGCTAAAAACCTTAACTCAGGTGTAGTAATATTAACACAGGTGTAGAAATGACTGAGTGAAGTGCTGAAGGCAGTGTCAAGACATGGAAGAAGACTGGAATTTGTTTTATGAATCTGAATAAGAGGTATAAACTTAACTATAACAACTACAGGACTAATGACACAAGATATTTTGACTATTTTGACCATTTTTACCTAGCTTCTTGTGTTTTGTAAATTTAATATATAATCTAGCAAAGTAGTGCACATTCCAGTAAGGGTATATTGTTTTGCTTTGATCTTAAAGTAAATAATATAGTCCTAGGCCCCTAGCATATTAGTAAAGCTTCTAGTTTCTTTTTAACTAGAGAAAATTTATTCTGTGTTTTGTGTGATGATGGGCCACACTATCTGCACCCCTCTTTTCAAAATCATAGGTCTGCCCATGAAGTTCCATCCTACTGGGTCAGAGCAACGGTCCATCTAATTCAGTATCCTGTGTTTGACAGTGGAAAATAGTAGATGTTTCCGATGGAGAGGGCACGTCTACATGAGATGTTACATTGTCAGAGCTTCAGCAGGCACAAACCATGATGCCAACGCTATACTGCCATAGCAACAAGCTACGCCACTGTAGCATCTAAAAATAACTGTGTGTCACCAGGACTGCGCACTACGAGTAGGTACTGCATAGTCATTTAGTACGTGCTAAAGTAGTACCAAATGCGTAGTGAAGGGCACATGTAGACATACCCAGTGTATATGTATAGGTCATGTCTAGAGTAATCCATATTCTGCTATACACTTCACAGCATCAATCATTGGTTTAGGGATGTCAGTGAATACATGACTGATTTTTCTATTTAATTGCTCCTAATAGATCTGTCCTCCATGGGTTTGTCTAATTCAGTGGTCTCCAACCTTTTTAAGAAGATCACTTTTGGAGTTTTAAAGCAACCCAAGATCTACATGCCCCCCCGTGCCCTTCTGGGGTGCATGCCCCTCCTACCCCCACCCCCCCAGACAAGCTGCTCACAGCTCTGCCCCATGCCCTGGATGTGCAGGGCCTGCCTCAGCCCCAGCCCCTCCCACACTGCTGCTGAAGCCATCCCCGTTACCTGCTGCCTGTGCTGCCCCCTGGCTGGGCCGCATGGTCCATCACTCATTGTGGGGGCCTCAATCTAGCACTGACCCCTTCCCTCCCCCACAGACTGACTTGCTGGGCTGAGGGGAGGGCATGTGTGCACATGTGCATGCGCACCCAGCCCCCCGGCCCAGGATCAACTAAAAGAGGCTCCGTGATCAATTGGTCAATCACAATCAACCGGTTGGGGATCATGGGTCTAGTTGCTTTTTGAACCCAAAGCCTATACACAAATAATACACACAAACCACTGACCTGCTACTTTCAGCTCAATTAGTGTTTCTCCATAACTGATGCCATCCTGAACAAAACAATGGTATTTTCCTTCATCAGAGACAGTGATATTGAGAATCTTTAAGGGAACACTTCCATCTGTGATGCTGTCCTTCAAAAGTTCTGTCCTTCCCTTATATTCTGGCAATTGGTCTTTGAGCTGATCTGTCCGATTATGGTACAAATGCACAATAGTATCGGACTCAGATCGGAACCATTTCACGTCCATGTTCACAGCATTCATCCTTGGAATCAGGTGACAGGGCAGTAAAATTTCCTGCCCCACAATGCCAGTGACTAGCTTCTGTGATCCATCTACTTTAAATGAAGCTGTAAAATGTACCAAAACCAAATTTAGGCTTTCAGAACAAAGAAAGAGATTTTAAAATCATAACTGTGAAGCAGTCATGCAGCTTAGAACATTTTAGCCTGAAGTGGCAAAGAAATAAGCAACAGAAAACATGCTCTTAAAATAGGAAGTGTCAGAAAACTTTAGTTATAGGTGTAACTGAAAGGTTCATCTACAATATGTATATTACATTCAGTGCCCAAATGGGTAGGATGTCCTGTGTGTGTGAAACATGAAGCCAACATGTTTCATTGAAAATGTTCTGAAACTTTAATTCTCCACCCCTGCCCCCACAAAAAATAATTAAAGAAAAAGTCAAAATAGGATTCCAAATAGGAGAGGTTTTTTCCCCCCTTGATTAGTGTTATTTTTCAGTTATACCACCATGGTCCCCCTGCTTTATTTGTGGCATATTAGGGTGCTATACCCTGTAGTTGTGTGACAGGGTTGATTTTGTCATTTTAGTAATAGGTTAGACAAGGATATAGTTTGGATAGGGATGTTCCTTCCTCAGGCAGTGGGTTGGACTAGATCCGTGGTTCTCAACCTTTTTCCTACCAGGAGCCATTTGCAAAGATCCATAGCCTATCTCAACTCACACCCCCTGGCCCTGCCAGTGCCCAACCCCCAGTTCCCTGCTCCCCTTGGGCCATGCTGCTATCCCTCACTCCCAACGCACAGCGCCCTGTCCCCAGCCCTGCCAGAGAGGCCCCCAGCTACCCCTGTCCTGCTCAGGCCAGAGGATGGTGGCTGTGGCAGCTCTGGCTCATGTGGGCAGCAGCAGAGCAAGTCCATCCCCAGCAAGGGGTGGAGGGAGAAGATGGGGAGGCCTATGGCACCTCTCCTATCCTGAGTTGGGGCTGCTGTGCCATGCCAGGGCCCCCCCTCCCTAAGCAGCATCTCCTGACCATCTCACCTATGTGAGCATGGGCACTGGCCCCAGGGCCACCAGCCTAGCCATGCAGCTGTCCCCCACCCCCTTCCCCCGCTGGAAGGGGCAGGAATCTTCCTGCCGCCCCTCTGCTCTGCTGTAGCTTACAACCCATTGAAATATTCTTGCGACCCACTTTTGGGTTGCAACCTACAGGTTGAGAAATGCTGGATTAGAAGACCTCAAGAGCTCCCTTCCAGCCCTATTTTTCTTTTACACTTATGTTTTTGAGAAAATAATGGGCTGACGATTATGTATGTGTTTTAATGTTAGATATTCTGGGGATGAGATGCATATAAATACATTGATAGAAAATGGAGATAGGACTCCTTAGCAGAGGAAGAGTTATTCCTCTTCACTGTTTAGGGACAAAAAGAAAACTGTTATTAATATTTACTTAATGATCCAGTCCAAAACTTTGGCTCTTTTTGTTCATTTTTCTACAAAAGACTGGAAAAAAAGGACATAAAAAGGATCTTTTAGGCAGCAACAGAAAATATCTGGAAGCAGTGGGGATTCCTACCTGAGTCCAGTGGGTGAACGTGAAACATAATGAAGAAAATGATCAGACCAGACAGAGACAGACAACGTCTAGAGCTCTGGCAAAATGACAGGGCCATCTTGTTCTTAATCTTAACCTTAACTTGAATCTGAAAGGATGAGAAGGAGAAAAATTATATAAAAAAACTAAGTACAGCAGAGTGATTCTGACAAGTAGATCTTAGAATTAGATGTCTAGAAGATATTACATGATATATAAGAGCAATGGTATCCATCTTTTTTGCAATGTGGGCAGGATGGGTGATGCCAGGTCTGCACACCAGCAGCGTCTGGCCCATGAACTCAAATGGGAACATGGGGCAGGCACAGCTCAGGCCTGATCCAGATGGCAGTGTGAAGCCTGACCTCTGTGAGGAAGAAAGGGAGCAGCCTGGCCCCAATCCAGCTGTGCGGGGAATTGGGGAGCGGTCTGATTCCAATCCGGTTGCACAGGGAAGGGAGCAGTGTAGTGGCCTAGATCAATCTGGACATTGGCGGGGGGTGGGAGGCTGGCATTGGGGAGCAGTCCAAATGAATCCCAGTTTGCAATGGATGGACCTTGTCCTGCTCCTGCTGCATGGCAATGGCCCAGGTAGGACTTGATCTAGAGCCACAGAGTTTCCACCACTTTCCTCCCTGCCAAATTTCCCAACCTGAAAGAAGCCCCAGAGGCCAGATGCTATGGCTCCACAGGCTGCATTTACTAGGCCTGTGCAAGTCAGCAGTGATCCGATCCAGCGTCGGATCTGGCCGCGATCCGATCTGGAGCTCCGGATCAGGTTTCTGCCTCGATCTGGCCGAAGCTTCAGAGCCGCCTCCGAGATCTGGCCCCGGGGTATAGTGGGGAATCAATGAAATATTTATAACTTTGTTTTTTGTCCGATTTGCATGAAACTTGCGGGGATGGTAGCCTCTGCTGAGAGCATGAAACTTGCCAAGTTTCAAGGAGATCAGTGCAGGGGGTTTGGGGCAACTGTATCCCAAATTCTTGAAAGTCAAACTCCTGTCATGGCTGTGTGTTACACCACAGGGGGGTCAAAACTGCAGGGCTAGTAGCCCTTACTGAGGTCACAAAGCCTGCCAAGTTTCAAGAATATCGGTACAGAGGTTTGGGGGGAACTGCACCTCAAACTGCGGATAAGCAAAACTCATGCCATGGGTGACACTGTGTGTGTTAAGGCACAGCAGGGTGACAGCTGAAGGGATGGTGGGGCCCCTGCTGTGGCCACAATGCCTGCCAGCTGTGGAGGAGATCGGTGCAGGGGGGTTCTGGGGCCCTGAGTCTGTCAGCAGCTAGGGGCGCAACTCATGCCAAGACTGTCTGTCTTGGGGCAGTTGATCGTCTGCATTGATTCTGTCCTCTCCTTAGCCTGGTTTTGTAGGTGCTAATTGATGCTCATTAAGTCCTTATGTAGTAGCTAGGTCCTGTGTATTGAGCTGGTCCCCAAGTCCCTGGTCCCTGAGTGAATCATGATTGATCGATTGGTAACTGGGAACACAGCAGCTTTGTATCCAGGCCTGCAGCAGTGTCTCCTCTCCTGCCCCAAGACAGTCACAGTCAGTCCCACAAGCACCCATGGCATAAGTTTTGCTTGTCTGCAGCTTGAGGGGCAGTTCCCCCCAAACCCCTGCACCGATCTTGAAACTTGGCAGACTTTGTGGCCTTAGGAAGAGCTACCACCCCTGCAGTTTTGGCCCCCCTGTGTTGTAACACATAAACGTGATAGGAGTTTTGCTTTCAAAAATTTGGGTTGCTGTTCCCTGCAAACTCCTGCCCCACACTGATCTTCTTGAAACTTGTCAGGCTTCATTCTCTCTGCAGAGTCTACCACCCCTGAAAATTGGATCCAAATCAGACAAAAAACAACAAAGTTATAGATATTTTATTGTTTCCCCATTACACTCTATGACTGGATCTCCAAGGCGGCTCCAAACCACTTCGGGAAGCTGAACGAGGCTGGCGCTTCGACCCGGATGCGCTGCTTTGGACCCTGAAGCATCTGAAGCTTCTCTGGATCCGAAGCTCTGTCCGAAGCCTTGCACAGCCCTAGCACTTAGCCTGTGGGCCAGGGGCCGAGCACCTCTGTGTAAAAGGGATGTACTACCCATGTTGGGTAAAGTCACAAGTTTATACAGTCATTGAAACTGAGAATCCACCAAACACCTCACTTTTCCCTCACCTATTCCCCTAATTTGAGAGCTAGATCTGGCAGCACGTTTGAAAACAGTCTGGGGATAAGGTTGAGCTTTCATCACATTTTAGACTGAGACAGGCAAAGTACTGCACAGTGTTATGAAAAATACCATGGAGGAACACTTATGGGTTATCTATACTGTGGTGGATGGGTGATCTGGAACAGTGGCGACATATTGGGGGTGCACACAGGTGCATGTGATGATGTGCTGAGAGTGCTGATGCAGGCCCTGTCAAGCCGCACCCCCCGTTTAGGTGATGGGCAGGGGGGACGGTGGGAGTGCTGGTGCTGGCCAGGGAGCAGGTCCAGCAAAAGCTGACACCCCCCCGGTTAGTAACATCAGCCACCGGGGGACACCCCCCCCAGTCAGTGTGATCGGTCATGGGGGACCCCCCAGTCTGTGAGCTCAGCTGCTGGGGGACCCCCAGTAACGTGTCCCCCTAATTCAAGAGGCATCACTCACCCATGAACCTGGGAGCACACACATCCTCTAAGTCCATTGACTTGGATGCCAGAGATGGCATTAAGCTTTAACATATGACTGCTCAAACTCATTCTAACATTAAAACTGCTTAATATTACACAGCACTTAGTATAGCCTAAGGGTAGCATGTAACAGCACCTACGGGTGCTTTATCCACACAGATAAAGCGACCAATTTACAGTCATCCAGCATTCTAGGATCCAGGCTACCAGCCCCTTTACACCTACAAACTTTCTACCTTTCCAAGCTCTACTGCCCAGGGGGTAGTACTGGTCCCAAGCCAATCCCTCCAGACACCCCTAAACATCTTAATGCCATTTAATGTGTGGATGTTCCCTTTTTAAGTGGTTTTAGAATAGTTTAAAGGTAGCCTGTAACACCACAGCTAGTTCAGGCAGCTGAGCACTCCAGAGGGAAGGGGTGTGGTTCCTTATTTATCACTGATTCCAGAATGAATGCAAGACATAACTTTCTGCTTTGACTGTGGCAGTACAGCTCCTTCAGACATTTTAAGGGGAAGAAAGTATTTAATCCTAAATTTATTTAGGTCTTGAAAACTGCAGTGATAAAAGGAAGCAAAAAATACGATAATGAAGCCTTGTAGAGAAAGATATTTTTGTTGCACGTCTCCCTGTTACTTCGTTCAGGGAAGGCTAAGGTCCAGCAGCTTCTAATAACACAGAACAGCAAGGTACAAAATTGTAGAATTCAACATAATTTTAAAATCAGGAATTACAATGCTATGAAAGTGAAATATTTTGAATGCAGTTTAGTCAAAATTCACCTACCTGAGTGACTCTTCTGAGAAAAGTTATGAACTTGATAGCGTGTCTGCTTCATCCAAAGCAGTCTTTATTTTCTCAAGATATTTATTGAAAATGTAAATTATTTCATTCTGTGAAGTACACTGCTGACTTTGGCTATAAGCTCAGTAGAGGAATTAACTGCAGTCTTTCCTTCTGGATTTTAAAATATTCTCTTTTCCCTCAAAATGAAGACATATGCTTCCTTCAGCAGCACGTATCAGCTTCAAATGTGAAAGTAAAAGTACCACAAAAGGTTTAGCCATTTCACAGCAAGAGATTTTTAAAGAAACAGCCGCGTTGCAACAGATGTAAATATTTAGGTACCTTGGCATACATTTTATTTATTTGATTTGATCTATATGCCACCTTTCTCCACAGAGACTCTGGGTGGCTTACTGTAAAAGACAGGACAACATATAAAAGCAAGTGGAATAACATAGGAAACAAATAGGAAACAAATAAAAGCAAGTAGAATAAAATATCCCTAAATAATGTTTTCATTTTGCCTTGCTTGCTAAATGTTTTCCCAAAATAGGAGGGTATTACAGTGTTTCTAACCTTCATGAGAAAACTCAGAAGCAATGTTAAGCATTCAGAGATTACAAATATTCACAAGGTCAATGTGTGGTATTGTCCTGGGTTGTGTTAAACTGCACAGGGGGTCTTAAATAGGGAAACTCACTTTTCTCCTTGGCGCGACTGAGGTCAAACTCCTTGGTCAACAGATGATGTTATACAAGTATATGAGAAGGGATCTGTGAAGGAAGAGGGAATTGGGTTAAAGAGAGTGCTCTGATTTCAATATGATGAGAGATGTTTAGATATTGAGTTATTAAAATGAGTTAGATTACTGTGTTACATGGAACTTGATTATTCAGGAGGAATTTGAGATGCATGGGGATATTTTTACTACCAAATTTTCTTGCATATAACATAACTTTTCCCCCTAAAGATCAGCAGATGGAAACTGAGGTGCACTTTTTAAATGAGGAAGTATGATAATAGCAGATTCTTCAGCATGAGCCTTTGCTGGGGGGATGCATGTAGTTTACAATGGCAGCACAGTGCGTACGTGGGGATCCCCAGCTGCTGGCCATGCACACTTTCCCTTTCCCCCAGCAGAAGGATACGCTGCAGAAGCTGCTATTCAGTCACAGCTACTTACCAGTATTTTCAGGGAAAGATCTTTTTTGTTTTCTTTCTGCCTGTCAGAAACAAGGTGTGTATCCTTTTCAGGGGTATGTTGTAGACAAGAAAATATGATAATATTGTTCCAACCTGAATCTTGCTGTAGATTCTAGTTTTACAGAATATGCACGTGTTATCAAATGGACAGATTATCTCACATTTAACACTTTTTATGTAAATGGTAAATAATTGTACTATAATAAAGGGCTTAGTCTGTTTTTCTGTCTGTGTGTCTGTCCATAATACTTTTGGGCAACTGCACATGTGCTGCCGAGAGGGCCAGCAGCGATTGGCTGCGCAGGCTCTGCCTCCTCGGGAAGGGCGGTGGGGGACGAGATGGAGGCAGGTTGTGGAGGAGGGAGCTGCTGCCGATGCTGTGGGAGCTGTCACTGCTGCCACCACCTCAGGCAGGGAGGCCAAGACGAAGGAAGGCGGTGGAGTGGAGCTGTTGCCACTCAGCCAGGCAGGTGGAAGTAGCTGGGTGGGGAGCCGCCGTGCCAGAGGCTGGAGGAAGAGGCAGTGGCAGAGGGACTGTTTATGTGGCCGACCCCGAAGGGTGAGTGGGGAGCGGGAGGGGGCACATGTAAACTTTCCCTGAAACACTCACAATTTATGACGGGCAATTGGCTAGTCTGCAATAAATGTTTTAAGCACGGTGGAGATATAAGCGATATATGTCATCATAAAAAGTAAATCAGTAGTAGATGTTAATAGATGAACTCCATTATTGCTACATTGTACTCTACAATGATCTATAAACATGACCATTATTTATTAGAACATTTATTACTCATGAATTCACCTTTGATGAAGCATCTGTAAATTTATAATGGTTTCAAATTGCAGCACTGGAAATTTATGTTGCATGTTAGGAAATTTTTTTTAATTATGAGGGTGGTTAAACACCGAGACAGAGGTTTGGAAGTTTTCAATAGCGGGTTAAATATTTGACTGGAATGGCTTGAGCAGGGGGTCGAACTTGATGATCTTTAGAGGTTATTTCCATACCTATTTTTCCAAGTTTTTTAGCTCAAGGATAAGGTTACATACAGACACATCATAAAAAAAGCAAGACAAACACATTGCTATAAAGGCATGATTACAATAAAGTGAAAGGCAGAATTTCTATGGGAAATTAGGACAAAAGAAATCATTTAGAAAAAATAATCAGTTGAACAGAAATGTATCAACCTTGCCCAATTTAAATGATTCATTTTGTTTCTGAATCTCTAATAAAACTCGTTTTGGGGTTGCATTGCACCTAATCTCAATTTCCACCAAAACTGCTCTCAGAATTCCAGTTCTGTGTCCTATAATCCCATTCTTCTTACAGGCCACACTTGCTTGCCAGACTAGATCTCTCATGATATGCTGACATCTTTCCCTCCACCTATGCCATTTGTATGTCTCATGAAAGTTGGATAAGAAAGATACCTAGGCCTAGTTAAAATGCTAGAAAAAGTTTATTTGTGAAAGTACCAGTCATGGAAACAATTGCTGAATTACTGAACCAAGAAGTAGAGGCAAGGTCTTGGTGAATCATGATGTAATAATGTACTGGACCCTGCATAGGAAGTACCTAGAAGAATTAAACACCAAGAACTAATCAGCCTGGACCTAGTCAAGCTGATGCCAATCGAGTCAAGACAGGCATTCAATAAGTAATTTAAATAATTTAAATGAATAATATATTAAAAAGTAGAATGTGAAAGCAGTTTAGTTATTAAAAGCATGCATGCATGGTGCATTTTCAGTATTCAGATTGACTAGTTAGCTTGGAATCAGAAAATGTATTGACACAACTGAATGCATATTAGGTTGTGAGCAGATCATTCAGGGAATTGTTAGGATGAAAGGGATTTGAAATCAGGTAGATAGATCATAGCATATCATAGAAAGATGGTGGGTTCTCAGTACTACCATGTAGCTGGTCAGGCATCAGCTCTAGTGCAACCTGGTTCCGTGAATAAGGATAATAATTAGGAGTCAGGTGACCATAGGGAACCTATAGGCACCACAAGCCCCTTATAGGAGGACTATAAAACACCATCTACTTCCTGTGGGACGTCCCAGAAAAATTGCTTGTGTGTATTCTCCTTGGACTTCTTACTTGCTCCTACCAGAACACTTCCTTGGGGACCCCCAACTGTTCCAGGGGCTTGTCAACCAGTGCCAGCGACTATTTACCCTGTGTCCCTGAACCTATCTAATAGGCAAATAAAAGTAGTTTGTAATTAGCCTGTTAGCAGGGTCTGCCCTGTTGGGAGGCACTTACTCCCTTTTGGAGGACCTTAAGAGCTTCCTTATGGCTATGTCAGCTATGTCCACTGACTCCCTCTTATCACACACTGCTGAAATAGCCTGGTAGACTTTAAGGCAGGATCCTCAAATGGTCACTCAGTATGCAGGTGAGTTCCAGCAACTAGCTGGGGGGGACAGACTGGAATAAGGGTGCATGGGTCTTCTACTTCTATCAGGGACTAATGGGGAGGTGAAGAATCAGCTGGCTCATAAGGAAGCCCCCTTATTCAAAGTAGGAGCCTGAGTGTGTTTCTCAGTGCAGCATCTCAGATTATCCCGTCCTTCAGGCAACCTCAATCGCTGATACTGGAGCTCGTAGCACATCTCAGCACAGATCAGACTGTGGCCTTCCAGTTGCAACTGCCCAAGGCTGTAAGAGCCCATTCTGTTTTTCATGTCTCCCTGTTGAAACCCTATGAGAGAACCTGCTTCCAAGTCATGCCCTACCCCAACCTTCAATGGTCTTGATTCAGGACCAGGAAGAATTTATAATGAAGGAGGTCCTTAACAGGAAAAGGGTATGGGGAAAACTCCATGATCTCATTGACTGGAAAACACGCATGCCTCAGAATTTGTCTGAGGCCCCCTCGACAGCAAGCCAGGTCCTGGGGCATCTGGGGGTCAGCCTAGGAGAGGGGTAGTGTTAGGACTTTGGGACATGAAAATGGTATGGACAGGCCAGCAGATGGAAGCTACGTCTTCAGTGCCACTGCATAGCTGGTTAGAAACTAGCCCCAGCCCAGACTGGTTCCTCCCATAAGGGTATTAATAAGGAGTCAGGTGACCAGAGGGAACCTATAGGCACTGTGAGCCCCTGATAGTAGTGCTATAAAACCTCTCCTACTTCCTGTGGGACTTGTTCCAGCATCGTTGTCTGTGTGTGTGCTCCTTGGACCTCCATCTTCTTCCTGCCTGATTCCAAGCTTTACCACACTCTGTTTGGACCTCCCTGCTCTGACCACCTTCCTCCCTGACCACAGTACTGCCTCAGCCCTTAGCCTGAAGGCCCAGACTTCGAGTGATACATAGTATGTCCCCAGTCTGCTCATGGTAATTCACTGAGGGTAGATCACTGAGTCAATCACCTATGGCCCAGTTGATCCTGACAGGAGTAAAGTATGCATAAAAGATACATAATTTACAAAGATTTGGGATTACTGTTTCTTTTCACTTATCCCCTTTATCAGTCAGCTTGGTGTCCTGACTGATAGAGAATAAAGGCCATTCTATGAGATAGGCTAGGTTTTTTTTGTGATACCTTTTCCTGGACTATATGTACAGTTGGAAGAAATGTTGAGTAAACTTAAAGTGTCCTCTTTCATAGTTTCATAGATATTAGGGTTGAAAGGGACCTCAGCAGATCATCGAGTCCGACCCCCTGCCCCCCAGGCAAGAAACAGTGCTGGGGTCAGGTGACCCCAGCCAGGTGCTTGTCTTTCCTTGGAGTCAGACCAGCAAAGACTCCCACTGCCTGAAGAAGGGTGACTGCACCCAAAAGCTTGCCAAGAACTTTTTCCCAACTACTCACTTGGTCTAATACAAGATATCATATCTACTCAAAGACCCTTGCCTGCTTATGTCCCTAGATCAACACGGCTACGATCACAACTCCCAAAACAAATTTGGTCATCGATACAAATGATATTATGCTGTTACATGTAAAAAGGTGAGAGGTCATTGTCAGTAGTCACTACTCTGCTCTAAAACTTGTTACCTGTTGTAGCCAGAGCCATGGCATCTCCTAAAAATAATCTGGGAGCTTTATTTTTGGGTAGATTTTTCACAGGAACATTTCAGTTTGAAGCACTGTTTGGGGATTTTGGTGTTTATTACATACTCTATATCAGCATCTAAGGTGTTGTAAACTGCTCTGAGCCTTTTTGGGGAGGCTAGTATATACATTTAATAAATGCATAAATTAAAAAAAATGTATATTGTCCATTCCACATATTAAGGTTAAAAATAAGTTTCCACCATAAGATTAAATTTAAAATATGCATAATAGACAGGTATCTAGGAGATGAACTCTTGGATGAAGGTAGAAAATCCATCAACATTTGAGGTGACTCTGGTTTACTGATATTTGTAGAGGACAGCTTAGATGAAAATAGCATATCCAATGGCAATGTGAGCTTTCCTTTGCTAACACCTGCTTACGCATGTAACTTCCACACACACACACACCGGGGTTGTGTATTGTTTTTTTGTGTGCATTTGTGCTTTGATATGGGCAAGATGGCCCCTGTTGTTGTGGCCATGTCCTCAG